CACCACCCCACGTCACTACACTGTCAAGACTAGTTCAATGTCACACCACCCCACATCATTTCACTGTCAAAACTAGTTCAATGTCACACCACCAAACCCCACATGACTACACTGTCAAACCTAGTTCAATGTCACACCACCCCACATCACAACCTTGTCAAACCTACCTCCATTCACACCACCCCACATCACTACCTTGTCAAACCTACCTCCATTCACTTCACCCCACATCACTACATTGTCAAACCTACCTCGAATCACACCACCCCACATCACTACCATGTGAAACCTACCTCCATTCACACCACTACATTGTCAAACCTAACTCCATTTACACCACCCCACATCACTACACTGTCAAACCTACCTCCATCCACCCCACCCCACGTCACTACACTGTTCAACTTACCTCCATGTCACACCACCCCACCCCACTACATTGTCAAACCTAACTCCATTTACACCACCCCACATCACTACACTGTCAAACCTACCTCCATTCACACCACCTCACATCACTACATTGTCAAACCTACCTCCATTCACACCACCCCACATCACCACACTGTCAAACCTACCTCCATGTCACACCACCCCACATCACTACATTGTCAAACCTACCTCCATTCACACCACCCCACATCATTTCACTGTCAAGACTAGTTCAATGTAACACCACCCCACATCACAACTGTGTCAAACCTACCTCCACGTCACACCACCACACGTCACTACACTGTCAGGACTAGCTCAATGTCACTCCTACCCACATCACTTCACTGTCAAGACTACAGTATAAACCTGATAAGTAAAATTTCAAGGGACTCGCCAAAATTGTTTACTTATCAGGTATTTTACTTATCCAAACTTATCAAAACCCGGAAATGACGGCAGAACAACAGACAACATTTGTCAGTAATTTGACATATTTTATTCCCTAACATTTCATTGCGTTAAGTTATACATTTATAATAATAATTTTATAGAAGATCCCAGTCTCATCTGCATTAAAAATGTCATTGTCATCATATTCTTTAAGCAGAGAATCAATAGTTTTGTGCCAAGTCTTCATGCTGTCAGATTCTAAATCAACAGAATTTTCTTCACCACAAACTTTTTTTAGGACAATGCCATAACGTGTTTTGAAGCTTCCTAACCAACCAACTGAGCACTTAAAATCTACATGGCTTTGAATGTCTTTGCAACATCTGACTTTGACACACCACTTTCAATTTCTATAAGTGCAGCGAATTTGTCCTCAATAGACTTTGCCACAAGTTTGCGTTTACCTTTGACAGAACGATCTGATCTCGGTATCCCCCCAGTCACGCTAGGTCCTTCGCGAGATTGCTCAGACATTTTGCCAGAATAGACTGACGATACATATTTTTCCCTCTGTTTTATACGATAGCATTTGTGTTAAATAAACAAGCATTTTTTCCAATTGATCTTATTCCGATATCGCAGCGAGATTTTACTTGTCACGTGACCGTAATGGCGGCCTGCTTCATGTCATTCACAATGTAAACTGGATAAACTCACTGTCATTGCTGATTGGTGTAATCACTGATACTCGCAAGCTACCTAAAACAATGAACAACTTATCAGGGCTGGCTTCCAGTTGTCAGTGTATTGTTAACTGCATGACGCCAGCGAGCTGTAAGTAGGATGTTTGTTTAGCCGGAGACTGACACGTGCCCTCATGTCGGATTATGTGGTGATCGCTAATTTAGTTATCCGGTCTCTTTTGTTAAGGAATTTACTTCCAGGGATCGTGAAAAAACCTTTAGTTAAGCGGTATTGTTTACTTATCCGAGTTTAGTTAACCGGACTCTAATAATGATAATTAATGAAGAAATTTGCCGGGACCAAAGAATAGTGTTTACTTATCCGGTATGTTTAGTTAAGCGGTCTTTACTTAAGCGGTTTCCACTGTAGTTGAATGTCACGTCATCAAACCCCAGATCACTACACTGACAAACCTACCTCCACGTTACACCACCCCACGTCACTACACTGTCAAGAGTAGTTCAATGTCACACCACCCCACATCACTTCACTGTCAAGACTAGCTCAATGTCACACCACCCCACATCAGTACAGTGTCAGGACTAGTTCAATGTCACCCCACCCCACATCACAACTGTGTCAAACCTACCTCCACGTCACACCACCCCACGTCATTATATTGTCAAGACTAGCTCAATGTCACACCTACCCACATCACTACATCGCCAAGACTAGCTCAATGTCACCCCATCCGTCATCAATACACTGTCAAACCTACCTCCACGTCACACAACCCCACATCACTACACTGTCAAACCTACCTCCATGTCACACCACCCCACGTCACTACACTGTTAAACCTACCTCCATGTCACACCACCCAACATCACTACATTCTCAAACCTACCTCCATGTCACACCAACCCACATCACTACAATGTGAAACCTACCTCCATTCACACCACCCCACATCACTACACTGTCAAACCTACCTCCATTCACACCACCCCCCACGTCACTACACTGTTAAACCTACCTCCATGTCACACCACCCAACATCACTACATTGTCAAACCTACCTCCATGTCACACCACCCCACATCACTACAATGTCAAACCTACCTCCATTCACACCACCCCACATCACCACACTGTCAAACCTACCTGTATTCACACCACCCCATGTCACTACACTGTTCAACCTACCTCCATGTCACACCACCCCACACCACTACATTGTCAAACCTAACTCCATTTACACAACCCCACATCACTACTTTGTCAAACCTACGTCCATTCACACCACCCCACATCACTACACTGTCAAACCTACCTCCATTCACACCACCCCACATCACTACACTGTCAAACCTACCTCCATTCACACCACCCCACATCACTACACTGTCAAACCTACCTCCATTCACACCACCCCACATCACTACATTGTCAAACCTACCTCCATTCACACCACCCCACATCACTACATTGTCAAACCTACCTCCATTCACACCACCCAACATCACTACACTGTCAAACCTACCTCCATTCACACCACCCCACATCACTACATTGTCAAACCTAACTCCATTTACACCACCCCACATCACTACACTGTCAAACCTACCTCCATTCACACCACCCCACGTCACTACACTGTCAAACCTACCTCCATGTCACACCACCCCACATCACTACATTGTCAAACCTAACTCCATTTACACCACCCCACATCACTACACTGTCAAACCTACCTCCATTCACACCACCCCACATCACTACATTGTCAAACCTACCTCCATTCACACCACCCCACATCACTACACTGTCAAACCTACCTCCATTCACACCACCCCACATCACTACATTGTCAAACCTACCTCCATTCACACCACCTCACATCCACATCATTTCACTGTCAAGACTAGTTCAATGTAACACCACCCCACATCACAACTGTGTCAAACCTACCTCCATGTCACACCACCACACGTCACTACACTGTCAGGACTAGCTCAATGTCACTGCTACCCACATCACTTCACTGTCAAGACTAGTTGAATGTCACGTCATCAAACCCCCACATCACTACACTGTCAAACCTACCTCCATTTACACCACCCCACATCACTACACTGTCAAGAGTAGTTCAATGTCACACCACCCCACATCACTTCACTGTCAAGACTAGTTCAATGTCACACCACCCCACATCACAACTGTGTCAAACCTACCTCCACGTCACACCACCCCACGTCACTACACTGTCAGGACTAGGTCAATGTCACACCACCCCACATCACTACAGTGTCAGGACTAGTTCAATGTCACCCCACCCCACATCACAACTGTGTCAAACCTACCTCCACGTCACACCACCCCACGTCACTACATTGTCAAGACTAGCTCAATGTCACACCTACCCACATCACTACATCGCCAAGACTAGCTCAATGTCACCCCATCCGGCATCAATACACTGTCAAACCTACCTCCACGTCACACCACCCCACATCACTACACTGTCAAACCTACCTCCATGTCACACCACCCCACGTCACTACACTGTTAAACCTACCTCCATGTCACACCACCCAACATCACTACATTGTCAAACCTACCTCCATGTCACACCACCCCACATCACTACAATGTGAAACCTACCTCCATTCACACCACCCCACATCACTACACTGTCAAACCTACCTCCATTCACACCACCCCACATCACTACACTGTTAAACCTACCTCCATGTCACACCACCCAACATCACTACATTGTCAAACCTACCTCCATGTCACACCACCCCACATCACTACAATGTGAAACCTACCTCCATTCACACCACCCCACATCACTACACTGTCAAACCTACCTCCATGTCACACCACCCCACGTCACTACACTGTTAAACCTACCTCCATGTCACACCACCCAACATCACTACATTGTCAAACCTACCTCCACGTCACACCACCCCACGTCACTACATTGTCAAGACTAGCTCAATGTCACACCTACCCACATCACTACATCGCCAAGACTAGCTCAATGTCACCCCATCCGGCATCAATACACTGTCAAACCTACCTCCACGTCACACAACCCCACATCACTACACTGTCAAACCTACCTCCATTCACACCACCCCACATCACTACATTGTCAAACCTACCTCCACGTCATTTCATCCCACATCACTACATTATTAAACCTACCTCCACGTCAAGCGAGCCGGGAAGGTCCGGGTTAGATTTGATTATTTAAAGATCGCCGCCATACAGCTGGGATATTGGTGAGTGTGGCCTAAAACTAAACTCACTTACTCACTCCACGTCACGCCACCCAACATCACTGCTGTGTCAAACCTACCTCCGCGTCACAACACCCCACATCACAACTGTGTCAAATTCGCCTCCACCTCACACCGCACCACTAAACTAACTCACTCAACTAATTTGTTACCACACAACTACTGTATGAAACCCACCTCCACGACATACAACTCCAACATCACTACTGTGGGAACAGCTTGGTGCTGTTCCCCAACTTGAGTGGGAACACTCGTCTAGGGAGGTCTCTGTCCCCAGACAATTGACATTGCTCAGCCAGATAAGTCCTTCACCTTGACCATAAGACGTTGTCACATAGGCTGTTGTCCTAAAACAGAAAATCCAAACTAATTAATTGTTCCTCGTTTTCATTTTCACAACTGCTTATGCTAAATGCTGAGGGATGAAGCCACTGTGATTTCAAATTATTGATGTATGATTACAAATTTGACATCAGTGATTGATTAGCGAGCTTGATTACTTACGTTCGCGGGGTGCATGATGACATGGAAACATAGCTACCCCAGAAAATATATACACATTGCACTGGGGTCCCACATGTCTCTAAACAAATATGATCTTAGATCTCTGATGATTGATTCTGTTGACACTTGCTCAAGCGTTGCTTGTTTGTTGCTCCAACTTTCAAGGGTCTTAGCAAAATTTCCAAGATGCTTTTCCATCTTTGACTCTAACGAGTCGATATTTCAAGTTTGTTGAATACATTTCATGTAACGATCACAATTGAAATGATGAAAAATAATAAACGACAGTAAAATTAAGTCTAAACTCAAAAGAGACAATTAATTGAAATAGAGAGAATGTTCGGCAAATTGGCAATATTTAGGTTTCTTTGTTAAACCCGAGACTGAGGTTGTCCATTGTTGAAGGTTAGTAAGCACAGTGGTCTTGCTCTACACGAAGGTTTAGTCGTACAAAGATGTAGTTACCATGGACGATTTGCCATTTTGCACACAACTTGTGCCTCCTGTGATGAAAACGACGACCCTCTACAGACTGTTCCCCAGACATTGTTGTGTAGTACTTCTACTCGACCACGTCCAGAAGTTGTCGAATTCAAGCGTATTTGAAGATTAGCTGGAACATGCAAAGCAACAATGCAAGAAAAGGTACAAAAACATATAATATTGCACCGTTGTCATCAGAATATTGACAGACAACTTTACTTACCATCAGGACACTGTATTCCGACTACTATTGATGACGATGTAACACTACCCCAAGGGTAATGAAGACAATCGTTCAGGGAGAGTTCAGTGCCGAGACAATGGACCTTTTCTACGATGACACTTCGTGATTCGCTGCCCGTGTTTGAATAATAGATGACTTTGGCTCCAACGCTAAATATCAAGTAGAGTGTATCGAACTGTTTTAATATATTTGTCGGGTTCATAGAAAATATGATAAAATGTATGTCAAATTTGTATCGTGGTAATAGATAACTTATTGATATGTTTTTCTTTGCATAAAGTATAATAACATGAGATGTATAGACTGACGTTTCAGACAAGAAGAATCTCATTATATGTCTTACGTGTTGTGTCCCAACATTCTGCAAGCAACTGTTGCCTCTTCAACTCCAAACCCAGAGTAGTGGACTCTTCCCCACTGTCCGCTATAGTACAGCTCCAGAACTCCATCACCTGGCATGTTGGTGGTGGAGGAGACCAGTCTTGCCGCTGTAGCCTCTGAGGACGACATGATGATGACATTATTTGGACAAATGTGTAAGTATCAAATGTTTTTAGCTATTCGTAAAAATAGCAAGCACATCATATTCAAAAGATATTACCTGACGCCATTTTCATAAATAGTATGTTTGTGCATTACCTTAAGCACCCCACTAGATATACGCATGCCCCACCCCAGCGATCTATAAAATCTAATTGTCCTGAGCAAACAATCCATTGATCAGTGTCACGAGCAATGATCCAAACCATACCTTCAGGAAATGAAAAACACTCGACACCAACAGCTTCAGAATCGCCACAGTTGTCCGTCCCCCATGGTCTGTGCTTGCAGTACTTTAGATCTGTGTTCAGCAGCGTGCACTGGACGTCATCTAGCCACATTTTAATGGAACTGCTTCCACTGATTACCTTCCCTCCTCTGTCAAAATAGAAAGTGCGAGTGTTTTTTTTTGCAATATTCCAGGATTGATGTTGAAAATCAAACCCGGGCCTTCGGCGTGACGTTCGGACGCCTTAACTACTAGGCTACCCCAGCGCCCCATAAAGATAGAGAGGGAGACGCCTTTACAGACCTGAACCATTTCATTATGGTAGGAAGGTTCGGTATAACACTGCGTGGAAAATTAATTCAGTCATAGGTTTGGTTAACAGCCATAGTACTTACTGGTACCCCAGAGCCCTGCACACCACTGACGCTTCTACTTGTCCAAAGCCATCATCACACACTGTTCCCCAGCTACCGGAGTGGAATACCTGGAGGAGCCCACTTTTGTAACTTGAAAGCTTCATCGTTATGTCACCTGTTGAAGCAGCATTAAATGTTTTCTTATACATTGTTAAAAATGAAACGACTTTGAAACATTGGACTGTGTTAAATTAAATGAACATATTTCACTTAATGTTATCGATAAAATGATGAAACGTAGCATGATGGCAGTAAGATATTCTGTTGACATTGGGGCAATACTGAGGGGGACAACGCGTAAGCTAGTCGAGCAAGTCTATGTGGCATCTATTCACCGGATATCTGGAACGCCTTGACGGTCGAATTATGAAGTGACATGAGATGGGTTTGGTGAAGGGTTGTCATGCAGAATATGGGTACCCGGTGGGATAATGTCATGTGACTATAACCTTCTATCGCGGTTGATAATTGGAGGGTGATATGGCCTTGATCGTTGTTAGATTCCCTGAACCACCACAAGGCGATATCTTCGTGTGCGGGCTATTTAGATTGCGTGAAATGACCAAGATGCAAAGAAAGCTATTAGAATGTTCTTTCAAGTCACATTTCGCAATTTGATCAGTGAAAAAAAGGGCTAGAATTGTCTTCAGCAACCCATGATGGTCGTAAAAGGCGACTAATGGAAGCGGGTGGTCAGGCTCGCTGACTTGGTTAACGGTGTCATCGTATCCCAATTGCGTACATCAATGCTCATGCTGTTGATCACTGGAGTGTGTAATCCAGGATCGATTGTTTTCAGACCGCTGCCATATGTACAGCAGCGTTAAACAGCAAACAATCGAACTTCGCCATTTCGATTGCACACTAATAAACATTGATTGTTGATTATTCGGGCTGGTTTCGTGTCGTATAATGACCCCAGATACACATCCAGAGGCCCATTCATTGAGGGTAGGTGGCAATCAACAGGACCAACGGAACCCGTCTTATTTACATTGTTTGTATCCCAAACTGTAGTACCCTCACTTCTTGCTAAATGATAACTTTTGCGAACAACAGGTTTTCTCTGGTTTAAGTTTGTGTTTGTCGTTTTGATTCTTTAGGGCCCATTTGGTCTTTCTTCTTGGGAATCGTGGCGGTGTTCAAACAATAGCCATGAGCGAGCTGCACAATTACTATAGCTAAATTATAAATAATGCCTATTATATTCAAGTAGATACGGGTCTAGACTATCACTCACTTGGATCACATATGATGCCAACATCTTCACCGTGGCCACAGTTGTGGACGCCCCATGAATTGTGTGAACAGCTGGCCAAAGATGATTCGGTACCGGAGCAACTGACGTCATCCAACCAAATCTTCCCTCCTCCAAAACCGAAAGTTTCAATCGCCCTCGGTGTATGTCCACTGTTACTAAATGCACAAATTAATTGTTGAATCTCAAATAGATACTATTGTAGGCTGATGGCTTAATTCTAGCACACATACCATCCGTTTAAGTGCTATTATAGTGTATCTTTCTTATTGCCTCATCATAGGTTAATGGAATAAGTACTACTATGACATGGTGTCTTACTATTGTCAAATGTACCACACCTATCTCAGTTCATCACCCAAGTTATACTAGAACAGGGTGTCCAACTGTTTCCATACACCTCGGCTTCCTCAGTACACCACACAACTACCATCACTGCAAGCTGACACAAGTAACCTGACATTATTCTATTGTTACACTTCTGAAGATAAATTACTCCACGAACTCACAAATACATCCCCATAAGCTTTGTCGGTTTTGACTTGTAGTTGTTTAACACCGTTATTCTGCCCAAATGACAATATCCTGTATGAATGTTTACACATATTCTACACATGGTGTCTTACTATCGTCCTAGTTGTCTGCAGGCCACGGTAGCTTCCTCTACACCAAAGCTGTCGTCACACACCGTGCCCCACATGCCGTTATAGTACACCTCAAGTCTCCCAACTCCGTTGTCCAGTGGGGACGCCAGTCGGATTGTCTGGCCAAACACTGGAAATATAAGATGACATGTCAGTATCAAACAACGATGACTGAACATTGCTTCACAGCCACAGAACATTATATACTCTCCTAAAACAGAAACGCATACATGATTTTCAAATATATTTTTTTCAAAATTAGTGTTTGATTGTTATAATTTCACCATCATGAATGCGAGTTTGTGTACAAATGCACTGTGCAAAGACGCATCTTCGGAAACTTAAATGCAAGTTTTTCGCAATATGCACGTGAGGAATCGTGAGCGGGGACATTGCCTGTATCAGACTGTTCTGTTTTTAGACAGTCGCTGGCTTTTTTAGTTAAAAAACGAAGATCGTTATCGGCTCACTGATGAAATCGAAACTTTGCTTTGAACGCCTGGAGGCTGGGGAATCTCAAGCTACCGTTACGCGTCACCTCAATGTTCACCAGAGTACCGCGAGTCGCTTATGGGACCAATTGAACGCAAGAGTGGCCTCAAAGTGGTAGGCCTAGGATTACCACCGGAGCGCAGAATATGTAAACCCGGGTACATCATTTGCGGAATCGTTTACGAGAAGCTGGACTTCTAGCCAGAAGAACGGCCCTGTTTTGGCCCTCTAAGGCAACGACAACAGCGACGTCGACGGGGCAATTGGTGCAATACCGTCCGATTCTGTAATCTACGGTACTGTGTATGGTTCAGTGACGAATCACACTTTCTGCTTCAGTGCCGTGACGAAAGAATACGTGTCTATCGACGTCGAAATGAACATTTTACCCGAATTGTATCACCAAGGTTGACCGATATGGTGGTGGGTATGCAATGATGTCGGGAGCCGTATCCTACTCAAAGAAATCTCACATTGTGCGTCATCAGGGCAATTTAACTACTATTCGGGAACAGAGACGATAGTTTAAGGATTCACATGGTTCCGATCACTGACCGCGGGAAGGAGTTCTTCGAGCAAGATAATGTCAGGTCTCACACAAGACATGCTACTATTCAGTATCTTCAGAATGAGAACGTTACAGTACTTCCATGGCCTCAGCCTTTATTGGATGACCTCCGCTGAAGCATACGTGAAGGTGAACCGGCGCCCCAGACGTTAGATCAACTGCCGTAGGCATTGCAATAGGAATAGGCCAGAATTATACAATATCGAATTCAAAGGGTTATTTAATCGATGCCGAGATGGTGCAAAGCAGTTTTGCGGGCTCATGCAGATATTGAAGACAACGCCCACACTGGGCACAACAGATATTAAAGACAACGCCCATAGTGAGCACTACAGATATTGAAGACAACGTCCATAGTGGGCACAACAGATATTGAAGACAACGCCCTTAGTGGGCACAACAGATACTGAAGACAACGCCCATAGTGGGCACAACAGATATTGAAGACAACGCCCATAGTGGGCACAACAGATACTGAAGACAACGCCCATAGTGGGCACAACAGATACTGAAGACAACGCCCATAGTGGGCACAACAGATACTGAAGACAACGCCCATAGTGGGTACAACAGATATTGAAGACAACGCCCATAGTGGGCACAACAGATATTGAAGACAACGCCCATAGTGGGTACAACATATATTGAAGACAACGCCCATAGTGGGCACAACAGATACTGAAGACAACGCCCATAGTGGGCACAACAGATATTGAAGACAACGCCCATAGTGGGTACAACAGATACTGAAGACAACGCCCATAGTGGGCACAACAGATATTGAAGACAACGCCCATAGTGGGCACAACAGATATTGAAGACAACGCCCATAGTGGGCACAACAGATACTGAAGACAACGCCCATAGTGGGCACAACAGATACTGAAGACAACGCCCATAGTGGGCACAACAGATATTGAAGACAACGCCCATAGTGGATATTGAAGACATATATTGAAGACAACGCCCATAGTGGGTACAACAGATATTGAAGACAACGCCCTTAGTGGGCACAACAGATATTGAAGACAACGCCCTTAGTTGGCACAACAGATATTGAAGACAACGCCCATAGTGGGCACAACAGATATTGAAGACAACGCCCATAGTGGGCACAACAGATATTGAAGACAACGCCCATAGTGGGCACAACAGATACTGAAGACAACGCCCATAGTGGGCACAACAGATATTGAAGACAACGCCCATAGTGGGCACAACAGATATTGAAGGCAAAGCCCATAGTGGGCATAACAGATATTGAAGACAACGCCAAGAGTGGGGACAACATATATTGAAGACAACGCCCATAGTGGGCACAACAGATATTGAAGACAACGCCCATAGTGGGCACAACAGATATTGAAGGCAAAGCCCATAGTAGGAACAACAGATATTGAAGACAACGCCCATAGTGGGCACAACAGATACTGAAGACAACGCCCATAGTAGGGACAACAGATATTGAAGACAACGCCCATAGTGGGCACAACAGATATTGAAGACAACGCCCATAGTGGGCACAACAGATACTGAAGACAACGCCCATAGTGGGCACAACAGGTACTGAAGACAACGCCCATAGTGGGCACAACAGATATTGAAGACAACGCCCATAGTGGGCACAACAGATACTGAAGACAACGCCCATAGTAGGGACAACAGATATTGAAGACAACGCCCATAGTGGGCACAACAGATATTGAAGACAACGCCCATAGTGGGCACAACAGATACTGAAGACAACGCCCATAGTGGGCACAACAGATACTGAAGACAACGCCCATAGTGGGCACAACAGATATTGAAGACAACGCCCAACTGGGAAGAGATGCCTTCACCTTTTTATAGGCTATACATAATAACCATCTATTATATGTCAATGTCACATATGTTCTCGCCACGATATGGCTGCAATATTGTTAAATAATACCTCACTCACTCACTCACTATACATATTAACAAATGATTGATTTTTATACTGTGACATTTGGCTGCAACTGTGTTAACAGCTTAATTTCGTGAAAATACACTACGCGTTTTTTTATATTTAGAGTATATTAGGTAATTTGCAAATCAGCATATCATATACAATATTCAAGCTGATATAAACAGTATCTAACGTGGTCGTGTCGAAATGTAGATCTGCGATCACTGTTTAAAGGTATGTTTCAGAAATGTTTAAAAGCTCAGTAGCATTTATCACCTGCAACAAAAGATTTGGGTTACATTATAACAGGACCCAAATTCGTTGTTCCATTATAACAGGACCCCAATGCGTTGTTCCATTATAACAGGACCCCAATGCGTTGTTCCATTATAACAGGACCCCAATGCGTTGTTACATTATAACAGGACCCCAATGCGTTGTTACATTATAACAGGACCCCAATGCGTTGTTACATTATAACAGAACCCCAATGCGATGTTACATTATAACAGGCCCCAATACGTTGTTACATTATAATAGGGCCCCAATGCGTTGTTACATTGTAACAGGGCCCCAATGCGTTGTTACATTATAACAGGACCCCAATGCGTCGTTACATTGTAACAGGACCCCAATGCGCTCTTACATTATAACAGGGCCCCAATACGTTGTTACATTATAACAGGGCCCCAATGCGTTGTTACATTATAACTGGACCCCAATGCGTTGTTACATTATAACAGGACCCCAATGCGTTGTTACATTATAACAGGACCCCAATGCGTTGTTACATTATAACAGGACCCCAATGCGTCGGTACATTGTAACAGGGCGCAAATGCGTTGTTACATTATAACAGGGCCCCAATACGTTGTTACATTATAACAGGACCCCAATGCGTTGTTACATTATAACAGGACCCCAATGCGTTGTTACATTATAACAGGACCCCAATGCGTTGTTACATTATAACTGGACCCCAATACGTTGTTACATTATAACAGGACCCCAATGCGTTGTTACATTATAACAGGACCCCAATGCGTTGTTACATTATAACAGGGCCCCAATGCGTTGTTACATTATAACGGAACCCCAATGCGTTGTTACATTATAACAGGGCCCCAATGCGATGTTACATTATAACAGGGCCCCAATGCGATGTTACATTATAACAGGACCCCAATGCGATGTTACATTATAACAGGGCCCCAATGCTTTGTTACATTATAACAGAACCCCAGACTTGTAAGTTAGTCGTAAATTAAAGTTTAACAAACTCAGTGAATGTAGTATCTTGTCATCTCGTTCACTATCACTTAACAGTCTGCTTTGTTTACGAGCGAGGAAAGACAGTGACTGTGTGGTGTCTGATAACAAACAATAATAATGTCGGATCCTACGAGGAAGGCAGGTTCTGTTGGCCGTGCATACCTGAACTAGTGACAAGACTCTCTGACACACTCTCTGATATAACATCACAGCTTGCGGCTGTCTTCCTGAGTAAAACCTTCGAATTTCAGACTAATCATTCCTCTTTGTGTCGTAAACCTGGGATATCTCGAAGTATTTACGTAGCTCCCTTCAACTTTGTATGTCTGTACTTAAATCACAGGTAGTGAGTGAGTGAGTGAGCTTAGCTGTACGAAGCACTCAGCTTAATTTCAGCTGTATGGCGGCGGTCTGTAAATAATCGAGTGTGGACCAGACAATCCAGTGATCAACAGCATGAGCATCGATCTACGCAATTGGGATACGATGACATGTGTCAACAAAGTCAGCGAAGATGACCACCCGATCTCGTTAGTCGCCTCTTACGACAAGCATAGGTTACTGAAGACCTATTCCAACCCCGATCTCCACGGGTAAATCACAGGTAGACTAGACTAGGCACCTACCACTGACAGTCAGCGCAGCTAGAAACATCCAATGAATCTCCAGCCTCTCTGTCCATGATGCCACTAAGAAGCATCAGATCATCAAGTTGTACAAGTGGATCAAAATATCCTGACTTGTCCCTCCCAGAATCGCCGAGTATCTCCGAACCACTGTTCGACAAGCATTGACCTGCATTCAGTGTCTATTTAAGTTTTCAACTTCCTGGTCGATAACATGTAGTGTATATAATAGGAAGACATGTGACATGCAGAGAAAGCTTACACCTGGAGCTTTGACATCATACAGCTTTGTCCAACTTCATGTGCTAAAAACGTGCACAGTACACATGACACGCTGATATTTCTTCAACATCTATAGGTTTTCGCCCGCACATAATTAACTTTGTAAAAAATGTATCACGACATGTTTTATACATTTTCATTCTAGTTCATTTTAAAAGTATTTGCTTTGTTGCATCTTTCACAAACTAAATATTTTCAAACGCAAAAGGACCCGTTACCATAATATTACTTATTGATTTGTTATTCTGTTTTTTGCTATGTTTGTTATGTTTTGGTTTTAATTGTGGGGTTGTATTTCTTGGCGAGCCGTACTGGACCGTTTCGCAACGAACTCTAATGTCTTTGAACATGCCTAATTATAGTTAACATGTTGTTAAAAAATGCTCCCGTATTTCAAATGATAGAAAGTACAAATTGTAAAATATTTCGACAAGTTTTCAAGAAAGCAACAGTGTGGATAGTGTTCACATATTAGTGAAAGATATTTTGATATTGCAGCATACTTTTTCTCTTTGCGTGCGTGATCACAGTAACAATTGCCGTGACGTTCCTCTACATCTGTGGCCATGATAAACTTGAAATCGGTGCTAAACTCATCTCACTCACTAACCCCCGACAATGATTTTGGAACTGTATCGGTCGTTTTAGAATAATGAATATATACCATGTAGTAGCTTTCATTTTAACACAGGCAACACTACAATTTGTGTAAAGGCATTTCACAGTTGAACGTGGTTAGGCGTGTATAACAGTATTATCAACGGAGTATTATATGTGCTGCATTCTGTTGAATACTCCCAATACATTCAGAACATGAAATAGAGAGAGTGCAATACCACTGTGGACTGAACAGTGGACACAGCGGGAATCTCACTACCTTCATTATGAAGGGAACAAAATAGACGACTGCCACTGACAATCGTCAAGCCTGAAACATCAAATGTATCACTGTTCACTTGTCAGTGTTAGGTGTAATACAATTGAATTTTCGTTCGCACACCAGCTTTCAATATGGATTTTAATATTCTGATATGTCCCTCCCAGGACGTCCTGGTCGATCGCGTAAAGCCTGCATGAAGTGGTAACCTGTTTTTCACGAAGTGTACGCTTTCACCAGGAGTTTTGTATTGACATGGCTTATGCGCCGTAAACGTGCACAGTGCACTTGACAACCTGATAACGTACTTCTGCGCGGGTAGTTAGGGACATGATTCACTTTGTAGTGAGTGAGTGAGTGAGTTAAAACTCAGTCACATATTAACTTTGTAGAAATTTATCATGTCATTGTTTGATGTCTCTGTATTCTTGCTCATTGCAAAGAGGTTACCTGGAATCTTTCACACAGCTTGAACATTTCAAATGTCAAAGGACCCGTTACTCTAATATACTCAGCAGCAAAAAAAAACGCCAGTACGAATTCAAAATTAGAGAGGCACTTTAATCAAATCATTACAGAAATGGACATAATAGGTGGATCAAAAACAGTTTTTGTGTACAACATCTTGACACATCGATGAATAACTCAGCACAATTCCAAGACATTATGTGAACGTTTGCAGTTCATTCGGACTCTTGACTTCAGTAGCTAGTGTGACCACCACGAGCGGCAATAACTGCAGCACAGCGTCTATGCATGGAATGCACCAATCGATTGATGAAGGCCATTGGCACCTTGAACCACACCCTGAGAAAGGCCTGGCGCAATAAATCGGCTGTGTTAAGCCTTGGTATGACATGATTCAGTCTCCTCTGAATTTCATCCCAAAGATGTTCAATTGGGTTTAAATCGGGACTAAGGGCTGGCCACTGCATAATCTTGACACCGTTCTGCCGTATGAAGTCCTGTGTAGTTCTGGCAGTATGGGCCCGGGCGTTATCATGCTGGAAAATGTTGTTCCAGTGACGTGCGAAATGTGGTATGACGTGGGGTCTGAGAGTTTGGTCGATGTAGCGCACCGCTGTGATGCCGCCTCCTCTCCCTGGACCAAGGTTCCGGAACACCATATGAGCCACTCTCTGGTTCAGGCCTATTCAACCCCATACCATGATGCTTGCACCTCCCCATGGGTCTCTTTCCATAACACATTGGTCTGAGTAACGCTGGCCACGTCGTCGCCATATTCTTGTTTTGCCATCTGCAGTTGATACGCACTACCGACTATCATCTGTGAACAGAACAGTTCTCCATTGCCTGTATCGCCAGTTTTGGTGTTGTAGGGCCAACAGTAGATGTTCACGCCGATGACGAGGGGTGAGGATAGGTCCCCGGTAAGGTCTACGGCAATGGAGGTTCCCGCTGTTAAGACGTCGGCATACTGTATCAGTACTGATTGGTCTTCCGTGTGTTCCCACTGTCTGGCGTGCTCTTTCGGATGCCTGCATGAAGAGTGAGTGAGTGAGTGAGTTTCTTTTTACTCTGCACTCAGCAATATTCCAGCTATATGGCGGCGGTCTGTTAATAATCGAGTCTGGACCAGACAATCCAGTGATCAACAGCATGAGCATCGATCTGCGCAATTGGGAACCGATGACATGTGTCAACCAAGTCAGCGAAACTGACCACCCGATCCCGTTAGTCGCCTCTTACAACAAGATAGTCGCCCTTTCATGGCAAGCACATGGGTTGCTGAAGACCTATTCTACCCCGGATCTTCACGGGTCCCTGCATGAAAAGATTATGTACATGCTGTCGCACAACATGGCGGTTTTGTCGTTTGGTCACCCTTGGTCTGCCAGTACTGGGGCGATCATTTGTGGTGTTGGTAGCCTGGAAACGTATCTGCAGCCTGTAGATGGTCCGCACGTTGACCTGGAAGTGATTGGTAACGGCTTGTGCAGAGTGGCCAGCTTTAAGTCTTCCTAGCGCCTGGTTCCTCTGAGCTGTCGTGTGAAGGGGCATCCTGCTGACGTTGTAATGTGAATGTTTCAACCAGGTTTGGGGGTACATTTTATAGGGCTGGTCCTTGTGAACAGCACGTGCAGGATGAGTTCCATGAAAAACATGGAGAACACTGTACCATCTCCGAGATCAAGTTGCGTTTTTGAAACCATTTCCTGGATTCCATTCTGAGTTTGGGAAGGAATGTCTTTCCTCAGGTAAAGTTGGAGATGTTGTCAAAAATATCCAATCCAATCTGCGAAGGAAAATTCCAAACTGACGTTTATTTTGCTGCTTAGTATATTACGTATCATTTTGGTATTGTATTGGTGATTGTCTTTCGTTTTGTTTTGTTTATATTGTCTTTTCTCTTGTTTTGCTATATATCCTTTTTCGTGATGCAAATGCAAATTTTGTATTGCTAATTATCTGTTGAAGGCCCAGTCTTTCCAGAGCAGGCTCTCTGAATGACAGCTGCATCGTATAAGTTTGTCGACAGCATGTAAAAAGATTAATGGTACATCGTATTCATATATGTTGACAGTTCTGATATAAGATGGACAGTCCAACATAATATGTTGACAGCACCAACAGAAGATGACAGTATGGGTGTACGATAAACGGATACATGAGCATTAACAAGCTATGTTTAGGAATATTAGGAAGTTATAAAGACATATGTTTATTAAACCAGCAATAAATGACAGGAATATAAATATATTCACACAAACATTCAGAGGAAAAGGTAAGCCACTTCTAGCAACGCCTGATGAACCGTTTTGACTGATAGTAATCAACACACGTTGTCAGGTGGATGCTTTATTCAACCTGTATTGTTACAGACATCTTGCCAGTGTTACTTGTCAGGGAGACATACCAGTTAGCATAACGTTTCAGAGCGACTTTCAAGATGTGGATGTGGTACAATATCTTACACATGTATCTACAATTCTATATTCACATATGTACTGTGGGGCCACAGGCCTAGCATACAAAGCAGAATATGGAAACAGCGTAATGTACTGTCTAGTGAACACTGCATGATAAACATTGAAAAGTTTCATAGGACATTAAAATAAGATGAACATATTAAGGATACGAATTCTTGGAATATTTGGTTAAACTAAAAAAAGCCTTTTTCAGATATTTTCTTTTTAAATCATTATATTTACAGCAGACAAACAAGTGCTAATCATATTCAACTGCATTTAAAATACATTGTGCACATGTTTTCCTTTCACAGTTTGTTGGTTTCCTAATTCCATCAATAATCTATGTGTACTGTAATGAAGTTGTAATACAGCTACTTTATATGTTCAACGATATACTTCAAAAGGGTATGTCTCTGCACACATGTGAAATTTAAAGTTTATAGTAATTACACTTAACAAGAGAGTCTAAGATAGAAATGATTCTTTTTGCAAATACATGTTTTGAGTTGGATGGTCAGGAACACAGTGATGCCATGCACATCTACACATTACTTTGATAAACATTTGTCATTGTAGACTCAATTCTGAGCGCCATGGCTTTCATATAATAACATAATATATAACAACATATAACAAATTGAAACAATTTCTTGGCAAGTTATTACATGTCATCTTTAATATTTCCCTCGGATATTTAAGAATTATTGCATAACGAAAGAAATAATATAGGGACTCTCCCACATTCACCGTAAATTATGACATTTGAGTGAGTGAGTTAAGATTTATCGTCACATCATCAATATATCAACCATATCGTGACGAGATAACTTTTTACAGCAATAAGAAAAGTATGAAATATATTTCAAGGTTATAAAATCCTGTCCCCAAAGCACAGTACAACAACTAGTAAATCACATTTTATTTAAAGCTAGGGAGCATATAACATAGTAAACTGTTTAGTGACAACACAATATACACATACGGGCTATAGATCGCCAACAACCGAAGGTAGATCACCATACTAGCTATATAGGGACCATGGGGACTTACAGTACCTTTGCTACCCGCATGGACCCTAGATGGATTGATACTATGCCTTCAGCAGCTG